TTGTATTTTTAGTAGAGACGGGGTTTCACCATGTTGACCAGGATGGTCTCGATCTCTTGACCTCGTGATCCACCCGCCTCGGCCTCCCAAAGTGCTGGGATTACAGGCTTGAGCCACTGTTCTTTTTTCTTTTTTTGAGATGGGGTCTTGCTCTGTTGCCCAGGCTGGAGTGCAGTGGCACGGACTCAGCTCACTACAACCTCCGCCTCCTGGGGTCAAGCGATCCTCTCACTTCAGCCTTCTAAGTAAGTAGCTGGGCTCACAGGTGCGCACCACCATGCCTGGCTACTTTTTTTTTTTTTTTTTTTTTTGTAGAGACGGCATTTCATTCTGTTGCCCAGGCTATCTTTCTCCTTTTTGACCCTCATTGCCTCTGGGAGGTACTAGATGAGTTGAGGTTATTTCTTAAAAGCTTAAAATGGGCTGGGTGCCATGGCTCACACCTGTAATCCCAGTGCTTTGGGAGCTCAGGCTGGAGGGTCGCTTGAGGCCGGGAGTGCAGGAGCAGCCTGGGCAACGTAACAAGACTCTGTCGCTACCAAAAGAAAGTTTTTTAAGCATAAAACGGTTTGTGCCGTTATGGAAGGAGAGAGTTGTATTTTCTAAGGTATCAGAATGATGCAGATTAGAATACCTGAATACAAGTGACATGAAACATTTTAAAGGAAGATTTATGAAAAGGTTTTGTCACATTTCTGTAGTATTATTTTTTTGTCATGTAGGCAGTAAGTGCAGTAAGAGGTAAGGATGGAAAAGGGAATGTGGGCTTGGTGGCCAGAAAGGCTTCCAGGAGAAGATCGGGCTGGAATTGGGCTCTGAGGCTCAGATAATTAAGTCTCATTGGGATTTAGATCTACTGAGTTTTGGGGGAAATATTTAGAATGATAGCATCAAGTGTATCTTATAACTTCCATTTTTTTTAAATAATGCCACCATAGCAGAGACATGTGTTTATCAGACCTTGAAAATAACTACCCAAAAGTCGATGTTAAGAGGGAAAAAAATCAGAAGTCACTGTTTAAGGACCAGAAATTTGAAGCCATGTTGGTTCAGCAAAATAGGTCAGACAAGAGCTCTTGCGATGAATGCAAAAAGAAACGGCTGATCAATACTGCCTTTGGGGAGAAAAGTGTAATTACGCTGTCGTCCATATTTACAAAAGACTTAGTAGAGAAACGGAAGTCCTGGCCTCTGGGAGGAAAAGCCCAGATTGAACCCGAAAACAAAATTACACTGTGCAAGATCCATGCAAAATCACCAAAATGTCACGGAACTGGGGTTCAGAACGAAGAAAAACAACCCTCGGAAACGCCCACTTTATCTGATGGGAAGCAGTGGCACGACGTCAGTGTTTACCTGGGCCTGTCCAGCTGTCCAAGTTCAAAACAACCGGAAAAGCTGGATGTAGAATGTCAAGATCAGATGGAAAGGTCCGAAATCTCATGCTGCCAGAAAAATGAAGCCTGTCTGGGTGAAAGTGGCATGTGTGACTCCAAGTGCTGCCACCCAAGTAACTTCATAATTGAAGCCCCAGGCCACATGTCTGACGTGGAGTGGATGAGTATTTTCAAACCTTCCATGATGCAGAGAATTGTCCGCCACAAACCTGGGTGCACGTGTTCGGAAAGCATCTGTGGGACAAGACGTGATTCCCTGGCAAGGTGAGTAATGTTCACCTCTGTGAACATCCAGGGAGTATACATGCCAATATTTAGAAATATAAAGGGTTACAGAAGCCCCGTCATACCGACTGTTAACCCAGAAGCAGCGTTTGCTAACAGAAATCTTACTTAGGACCAGCGGTTCACCTTTTTCGTCACAGCACAGACTGTGGAGTCTTTAATTGTAAAGACTGTATTAGATTCCAGGGACGAGTTTATACTGAGGATGGCTTCTGAGGCAAAGGTTTTGTTTGAAAACAAAACCAGTTGTTGTGACTTGAGCAAATACGTTTTTTTAAAGAGCAAACGGGTGGGTCGCTGCACGGAGTGGAATGCCACCCTGGAGCATTCCTCACCCCAGAAGCCATTCTTAATTGACATGCCGACCAGTTCTGGTCCAGATGGCATTACCTAGACCCCATAGAAAAATTTCTCTTCGTGCATTGTGGTGGCTCATGCCTGTAATTCTAGCACTTTGGGAGGCCAAGGCAGGAGGTTCACATGAGGCCAGGAGTTTGAGACCAGCATAGGCAGTATAGAAAGACCCCATTCTCTATACTTTTTTTCTTTTTTCTTTGTGTGTGTGTGTGTGTTTTTTTATTTTCACACTTTTTTTTTTTTTTTTT